TTCCAAAGCACCAATCCAATCCACCACTTAGGGACAAGCTGGAAAATGAACTGGATGGACAGGCGTTCTGTCTCAATGTGTGGTTGCCCTACTGGTGACTGCCAGTCATCAACACCTTTGCAGGAGATGGCCACCAGAGTAATGACTTACACCACGGGTGTGACAACGACTTCACGCACAAAAATGTTTGCCCACGGCATTTGTGGGGTTGGCTTCCTCTTGGATGGTAAACGCAACCAAGAAGGGGGACACCAAATTAAGCGCTCCAGGAAATAAGAGAGCGCGCTCGTGGTCACTTGGGGAAACTCGTTTGTCGCGAACCGCTACAAACGAACAGGGGCTTGACCAACACAAGCAGCCATATGGACTTCGGCCAAATGTGGGCTCGAGCAAACATGGCTTTAAAAAGGTGGTGCCGGGCAGCACTGGGGCATTTCCGCCCGCTCCCATTGGAACGGAAGAGACCCAGTAGAAAGTACTCAGATTCACCCGGGGTTGTCTTTAAGGGGATCCAAAGCCAGGTGGTTTCCCTTTGGTTTCCTGTTTGAAAGCAAACCCAAAAGGGTACTCTCAAAATCCGACACCCACATAGGTCACCCACTTACTGGTCCCCTTCAAGGAGGACGTGCCCGCATCAGCATGCATATTATGCCGAACGGTACTTATCAGACGACTCCTAGGAACACATGTGAGACCCAGCTTTAAAAAAAGGTGATCTCCATGATCTCACTCCCTTTTCCGGGCGCAGGAGCTTGTGCCCTGGTCTTCTTTGCGATACCCTTGGTGATCCCAGATGGGCTCTTTGCCCCACGGGATTACCTCATGAAGGTGGGGGTCTATGGAAGCGGCGTATGCATGCCTCCTGGCCGGCTTTGGTTGAGACGTTTGAGACGTGAGGTTTATGTCGACACGTCTCGTTGAAGTCGAGTCCATGGTTCCCTTGGGCTCTAATTTTTCCCATTCAAGAGTTGGCTTGGCGCGATGGGCCATGTGTTTGAACGCAAGGGCCCAGGGGTGCCCTCTGCACGGGGCTTTTTGGGTACGTCGAGCAAGACGAGGCATGAGACCGGGTCCCCCCCTTTTGGGGTTTGTAGGGGATCCGTTTTGGGAATTGGACCTCTTTTTTTTGGGGCTCGAAGAGAAGGGGCTGAGTATGTACACGCAGTATTCTTTTTATGATGTCTTAGTTTGTCTTAGCTGATGTGTACCCCATCCCATCCGAACTACTCGGGCCTCACTGGCTGCGGTTGCTGGCAAGCAGCTGGACAACCCTCGTTGGCCAGACGGGTTGTGGTTTGGCCGGGGTACACTTGGCCACGGGGATGAAGCGTTGTTATGCCTTAAGCGCTTTGACCTCATGGGGGGTGGGGGGGAGGGAGGGGGAGGGAGCCCAAATTTGCCCTTAAGCCCCTAACAAGGCCTTGTTTGGGGCTTATTGGGGCTCCCGCCCCTCCCTCCCACCAAGCATGATGACCTGTTTGAACCTCGAGGTTCATCATCTTCAACCTGGGCACCTCCTTCGGCGAAGCCTTCGATCGGGTGAAGAGCGGCCTGCAGGGCAATCTCATGGCCGCCATCATGGGCTGGCGGCTCGGCTCGGCCGCTGCGCCGATTTCCCTGGGGCGCGATGTGTCCCAAGAGACTCAGTACGTGCCACATAGCGATGTGTCCAAATACCGTGGTAACTTTATTCGGAGGTGAGACGCCCAGCGCAAAAAGGGGTCCCATATTCTAGTGAGTTGGCCAAATGTCCCAATATTCCCCCTTGAAAATAGATTCCGAGGTGGGACTCCCATCCCTATTATGGTTTGTATTTTGGTGAGTTTGCGCAATGCCACTCCATGTACAGGAGATCTGGGGGTCTCCTCCATGTTATTTCAGGGTGGACTAAGCATGGGTGACAGACTCGGAACACATTGTTTTAAGTGATACTTCTTTTTTGTGCAGGCGCCCCTACCCACTAGAATGGTTCTAAGCCTTCGATCAGAACCTCTTTAAGACGCTCCTTTGGCTTCCTCTAGCGTTGGATGTAGGAAAGGCGCGAAACTTGTTCAAGGATATTCAAAAGTCTGGGTACCTCGCCACCTCTAAACCCAGATGCCAGACACGTTAGGAAGAGCACACACACACACCTTTTCGGTTTGCAACGACAACATGTGGGGAGTAGGTTTGCACCCGTAGCTTTTGCCAGCCGTCTGACCCGCCGCCCAAACCCTATTTTCTTATATACTTGTTCGTTGTCCTTGTTCCCCTTCTCTTGATGCGGACTGTAAAAACCCTTCGTTTTTGAAGCTATTTCCTTCCACGCCAGCGTTCATTCCATGCTTTTGCGTGCAAAACTCCCGTTTTTGTTTGCCGTTCATGAGCCCAACACGCAGGTTTCGGTCCGTTTTTCCGCGTAATTCGTGATGGAATTTGCAAATGTCCTGCTATTTGTGGCATATTATACAAGTTTTTAGGCGTCGCAATGGCCGTCCACGCGCTGCATGGCTGCCTGTGTCGTACATGCTAGCACCTATGTTAACGTGCCCGTCCACGCGCTGCATGGTTACATGCGCACATGCTGGCACATATCTTTCTACGTACACGAGCTCACGGCGGACTTCTCACGCCAAACTTGTCTCATGTTGGCGGGGTCTCAAAGCAGACAGCTTTTTTTTGGAGCGTGTTGCATTGATGCTTGCTCTGGATGGAGGTAGGGTACCTGTATATCAGCTACGCTTGTCGATACTCGTATACGCATAAATCTAACAGCCTCAAAGACGCGCTGCGGGAGGTTTGGCGGGACGGTGGGTTGGAGCCCCCAAAATAAGACAATCAGAATACACTGTAAAAAGCAGGGAATGTTCAACATGTCAATTGCCTATTCGCAAGGGCGGCGAGACAGCTGGCTACCTAGTTTTTGTCACCCAATGTCATGACTTTACTAGCCACCCGGATCTTGGTCTTTTCCTCGGCGCAATGCGCAAATCAGAGTAGACCTCTATGGCTACTTGGAGCACTTTGAGGGGACTGTTTTCCCACTTAAAAAAATATTATGGCTGCGAATTTAAAGAGTTGGGTTTTCACCTGGAACGCGGTTGGACATTTTTCTCCCCACTTGATGTCCACCTGTCCGGGAGACAAACCCGCACTGGCTGGTGAGGTTTGTATGGGGGACATAGAGTAGATGTGTGTAGCTAGTTTCGTAGATAAACCTCAAGTAAGGATAAGAACAGTTGGAATGCCGGAGAATTCATTCCACTTCCCATGCCCATATATAATCCTAGGCTTCATCTAGAGCGATGCTTCGGCAAAGCGTTTCCCCCGTTCTTTTCCGAGGGTTGGGCATTGGTAAAGTCAACCGGTCCCTGGTCTTAGAGTCTTGGGGAAGCCAAGAGGTTGTTTCACCAGCCCCGCTGGCTGAAGGCGGGTGGCCAACCCTGTTTTCCCATTTTATTTTTATTTTTATTTTTCTGGTGGAAAGGGCGGAGGGGTTTACCTTTGACATCAACCCAAGAAAGGGTTTGGGACGTTTTCGGGCGTGAGCCGAGCGCCTTGCTTTCTCCTGACTGGCGACGGATTTCCTCTTGGCGTTTCTGAACGGATTCCCATCCCACTATACCGACTCACTAACGGGGTTCCCTTGATATCACAGATAGTGGCCCTATGTTCCACACGGCCATGGGAGAGAACGGGCGCCCTCTTTCGGGTAATTGATTTTGAAGGGACACCTCACTCCAGATAAAGGAAGCAAGAGCACTCGTTGGTTTGGGAAAACTTCCAGGGAAGCGAAGGGAAGGGAAAACGAAAAGCATCAGGGGAAGATGCAGGGAAAGTGAAGGGGAAAGGAGGGGACATGCAGAAAGTCCAAGTTTTGCTCGTTGATAGCGAAGTGCCAAAAACTTCCAAAAGGCAAAGCGTCAGAAGGGTGAGCCTAAAGGGTCTGGCAATGGCGCAGGCGTGTTTGTCTCAACATAGGGGTACCCAAAAATGAGGGGTTTCCTTTTGGTTTCCCTTGAAACCAACCTCAAGAGGGGCGCCCTCAACACATGCCTTCCGAGGAGCATGTACGGCCTCTTCCCCGAGGGGGTGCAGAGTGAAATGCCCGGCTCGGACTTCGCGGCTCCACGGCATTTGGTCTTCTCCTTTTGGAGTTTGACTCATGTGCACGGGCTTTTGTGTTTGGCCTGTTGTTTGTTTTTGGCGGTTTTTGTGGCCTGCTCATTTTTGTGCTTGGCCTCTTGTTTCCCCCCCCCAGGCCACAAAGACCCAAGACACCCTCCTGGCCAGTTTTGCCTCAGGTTTCCGCCGAAATCCCATGACCCACCAGTTGAAAATCGTGCTTGGCCCTTTTTTGAAACCCTACGGCCCCTTCCGCGTATAATGTGCCGATCGGGGTGCGGCTGAGCTACCATGGGCACCCCCAAAGTCCCCTTTCGGTTCGACCTACTGCGTGGACCAAAGCCCGAAGGGGCAAAACCAAAGGAGGAAAGTCTTGTTGGTCGGAGCAACCTTGTGCCATAGCACTGGGGTTAGGGATGGTTCATCCCTTCTGGATAAAGAGTTCCTGAGGGAGATTAATGATGACCCACAGGTTCGGGGAGCTTTCACGTCACAATTGTGCGATTTTTCTCCCAGCCATCCACTTAGCTGTTTAGGTTTTTAGTTGGTTTAGTGGTAGTTTCCATTTAACCCACTAAAAGTTGTTCACTTTTAGCAGGGGATCTGAGGGCAGCCCAGTGCAAAAAGCCCGCTGCAAGCTTCAGGTCTTTTGGGGCGGCGTGGGCGTGGGCTGCGCCTTCGTGGGCAGTCTCCTCATCTTGCGCTTCAACGTGTCCACCCAGATGTTTGCGCGCCTCGAGAAGAGCGGAGCTTTCGCAGAAACGAGACGGGGTTGTTGGCAGCGCCGTTGGACCGAAGTGATGTTTAGTTAATTGTTGGTTGTCCCGAAGTTATTTTTGTGGATTTGATTTGACATGATTGGGGGCAGGAGTTGGAGAATCCTTAGCCAGTGAGTCAGTCAGTTGGTCGGTCGGCCAGTCAGTCAGCGAGTGAGAGTCAGTGAGTCAGTGAGTCAGTCAGTCACTCAGTCAGTCAGCCCTCCCCTTTCTTTCTTTCTTTCTTTCTTTCTTTCTTCCTTCCTTCCTTGCTTTCTTTCTTTCTTTCTTTCTTTCTTCCTTCCTTCCTTCCTTCCTTCCTTCCTTCCTTCCTTCCTTCTTTCCTTCCTTCCGTCCTTCTTTTCTTTGATTTGTTTGTTAGTGTGGATGTGTTCTGTTTGTTTGTGTGTTTGTTTGTTTGCTTGTTTGCTTGCTTGGTTGCTTGTTTGTTTGTTGTTTGTTTGTTTGTTTGTTTGTTTGTTTGTTTGTTTGTTCGTTCGTTCGTTCGTGTGTGTGGTTGTTTATTTGTTTATCTCTGCGTTTCTGTTTTCCTTTATTTTTTCCTTCTTTCTGCTTTCTTTTCTTTCTTTGCTTGAATTGCTTGCTTGTTTGATTGATTTTGTTTGCTTCTTGTTTCTTTGCTTTTCTTGTGGTATGCGTTTGTTCCTTCGTGGTGAAACCATCTCTGACCCAAGTCGGACCTGTCGATCGGGACTCGAAAGGCCCCGCCAGGCTGGAGAATTCCGGACAAGGCCCAACATCGCCTTTTCTGTGACACCAAATCCCATGGTCGCAGCGTGCGTAAATCTCTGTGCATGCAACCCGTTTTTTGGAGCTCCTTTGGTTCCTGGGGCTCACACCGGGTATCCTTAAAGGCACGAGCGAATGACACCCGAGCCAGTCGGTGTGTCTTTTTCCTCTTGGTACTAGCCCAGGTTGCCTGAAAGCGAAACCATCATTGAATCTCCCTTCGTCCGTTCGCTTAGCGCAACCTCAGGCTCTCCAGTTTTGCGTGCACCTGGATGAACTTTCTGGACGAGAACCAGAAGTCCGGCATCATCCCCCCCTGGAGGACCGGACATCCAAAAATAAGTTCAGCTGGCCTCTGCATCGCTCGGTTTCCTTTGGGCTCCTTTTTCTAATCATTTCAAGAGGGGATCCCCAATTTGAGAACACCGAATCTTCCAATTGCTCTGCTAATTGTTTTGGATCCAGTTTCTGCATGCAGATTCGTTTCCAGAGGTCCGCATTTAAGAAAGCCAGAAAGGTGGTTACACGCCTCGGGTGGCGGGTCTAGCATCGGCCTTCAACGCTTTCCCTTGGTCCTTTTCAGGGAAACTTCTTCGAACTCAGCCAGCCCAAACGAGGGTCTGGAAAATGGGTGGTTTAGCCAATCCTGCGAATCGGTACCCAGTTACGTTTGTGTCCACTGAATATAGCCCTGCTTCACGGAACCTTGCACATCAGGGCCAAAACTCACGCTGAACAACTCCCTCCCGCGCATGGCAAACCTGGGTCGCAAAGCTTTGGGATCGGGTGGGATTGAGCCCAGATGCATGAATTCGCATTCATGGGGTGATTCCTCCAAAAATATGTGCAGGGTTGCCTATACATGGCTGTGGGTCAAGACCTGTACCCCTGGTGAACATCAAAATAGGTGGTACAGGGGTGTTCATCCGCCCCAAAATGGAGGCATGGGTTATGACCCATGGCCACATGTGACGCTTATGAATCAACCAGGGGCTTCTGCTGCTTGGCTCCCAATTCCTGGCATAGAGTCCACAAGCCCCGCAGGTCCTGAAATTCGGATGTTCTGCGGAAACAGACCCTGCAGAAGCCCTCACTTCACTGCGGATGCGCGTTTTTTTTTTTTTTTTGGGGGGGGTGCAAACCAAAAGGATCCATCCATTTTGGTGGTTGTCCCTTCATGTCGAGACAAACCCTTGATGGACGTTGACGTTCCACTCACCTTAGGATGGAACCCTCGCTTTTTAGGGTGGAACTGCTTATTTTGTTCTTCAAGCTTCCAGATTCTTGATTTGTGGGCTGCTGAACAAAAACACCACCAACCCCCAAACACGCCCTTTTTAGGAAAACAACAACGACAAAATTTGGAGGTGTGTTTGACTTCCATTTGCTTAAAACTATTTTAACATTTATCTTGTTGGTTTTAGCAGGAATTTGTCACAACTGGGCATGTTTACTTTTATTCTTGACAGGGGTCTTAACCAAATGGAAGTTGTGGGGGTGTTTGGTGCGTTGGGAGGAGCGATGTATGAGCCTTGCTATTCATTGTTCTTGGCAGCATAAAGTCCTGGATCTCTTTGGCCATGGGTCAAAATCCAAATCGTAATCCCAGTGAACATCCCAATCCAACCACCAAAAAAGGTACTAAAATGGGTGGTGAATTCACCTACCCCAAAGTGGAAGTGGGATCCCATTGGTTTTGACCTACAGCCATTTGGGTATGGGTCAAAATGAAACCACCAGGAACTGGACCGCAGGTTGAATCGTCCATGTCTGTTTACCAGGGTTCCATGTTGGGTACCTATTTTTGACCCATAGCCATTTGGTTTCGTGTTTGCGAGGCACATTCCTTTTTGCCCTGCCAATCTCACGGTTCGGGGAGATGGGATGTTTTCTTTCCAGTGCGGGGGTACCCTTTTTGGGTGGTCCGGCAGTGAAACCACATATTTTTATATATATATTTTTAAATGGGGGGGGGGTTGAGACAAGACGCAAGGTCAGTTTTTTCATAGGGTGGCTTTCCTAGGGCTTCCAGACATACTCAGTTGGTGATGTGCAGTGAAATTCCAGAGTCACCTACGATTGGAGACATTGGATCTGGAAATTGGGGGCAGTTTGTAATCACGGGACATGATTGCAACTTCTCCAGCGAAAAGTGCACTTCACCCTGTTTTCCTCTGGGGAGTCCTTATTTTGATGTGCAGATTTGAGCAATTTGCTCAGATCCAATGTACTCTCCTTTTTTCGGATGGGCGTTTGTCCCTTTTTGGCGGCTCACACAACAGGTGAGTCTTCGTGTTGAGGCCCAGTCTCTGGTGGGGGTGGGTGGGGGGAGGGGCGGAGGGATCCGTTTCCTTTAAGGCAAACCCAAATCAAGTCACAAGGCGAAGCAAAGAAGACCAAGCCTTCAGTGTCTTCTCCATTTTCTATATTCTGGGGGTCGAAGGTTGACTATGGGCTCCCCTTTTTGGTGTCCGAGTATAGCAGTACTATTGGGTCGGGTCAATCCCTTCCATTCGCCAGGCACGGCTGGTCTTTGGAGCACCTCGCCAGGGGTGGGGGTTGGAGGGTGGGCTCCTTTCGAGTGATTGACCTACGTGGATGGACGAAAATCCTGCCACCACCTAAAAAGCCCTGGAATGATGATTCCCCTGTAGAAACCAACGAACAACAGTTTCCAATGGTTTCAACATGTAGGACTTTGTCCACCGTAGCTTTTCCACGGCTCCAGTAGGAGCTAGCTTCTTTGCTACGGGCTGGCTGTGAGTCAAGCAGAGACGGGTCTGGAAAGCGTGTTGAGCTAGAACGCCATTGACACTTTATTTCAGGCATGCCTGTTGTGCTAGGATCTGTGTCTTTCTGTGTGTCTTCTTTGGTTTGTTTGTTTGTTTGTTTTTTGTTTGTTTGTTTTTGGGGGGATTGATTGTTTGTTTTTTGGGGGGTTTGATTGTTTCTGTGTTTTGCTGAGGGTCCCTTTGCACCTTGGTTTCTCGAGAAGCCAAAAGCAACACCACCCACAATGCCGCTCCCTCCTATTACTCATTTAGAGCCGTTTAGAGTCACGACTTTGAAAGGCCCTGAGATGGACTCAGTTCTGGGAACTATGGGAGGCTTAGTTCTAAACAGGTTCCACTTCCAAAACTCTACCCGAAAAAGTCTTGGATTGGGCCCCCTTCCGGTTTTGACTGCGATTTGAAAAGAAACATATGGGTGTGGCTCAAAATCAAAGAGCCAGGGATACGCAGGTTTTGGTCCATGTTTCCACTTGCCAGGGTTCCATCTTGGTACCGGCTTTTTGAGCCACAGCCATATCGCACGAAAAAGGCGTCCGGCATCGGCATGGACAGAGCGGGACTTGAGTCTTTGGCAGATCATGTTTCCTCCAACTGAAATGTTATGCCGGGTAGACTAGATGACAGCCCCCTGTTTATTAAATCGCTCTTTTGCATGCTGCACTTCGCTTTGGCCGCTGTGCGCAAAAAGGGACAGCCATGCAGAGAAGAGAGTACTAGATCTTAGTGGCACACGAGTCTGGCGACTTTTCCTGACCAATCCTTTGGTGCATGTTGCTTGGATGTTGGGACTTTAACTTTTTGCCAACAAATGGGTTTACCATGAAACCACGAAAATTGTTAAACACTTTAGCAGGGGAGCAGAAAGCAACCGAGAAGCTGTTCCAAGCTGACCGATTTTTTTCGAGGAACGACGTGCTGACGCAAAGCTTCGCGTGCACGGGCATGGGCATGATCGCGGTGATGATCGCCTCCCTGCTGCCCTACCCCCGGTGGTCCTTGGACTTCGCCATGGAGAACCAGCCCTTTGGTCCAATTGGCGTCACCAGAACCCGTTGATTGGTGGCTTGGATTGGTTTCTTGATTCTTCTAGATGGTAAATGGGTTACCAACCAGGGGGAAGCTGAATTAGGGCAGGTAGGTCAAAACACTTTGGGGGTAGGTGAATTCACCACATTGTAGAACCTATTTTAGTGGGGATGGGGCTGTTCACTGGGGGTACGATTTGGATTTTGACCCATGGCCAAATTGGCGTCACCAAAACGGTTGATTGGTGGCTTGGATGGGTGGTTTGGGGATTTGAACCCCTCCCTGATTTTTGCAGATGGTAAATGAGAAGGGGTGTACCACAGACCAGTCTTCGTAGCCACGACTCAAATGCAAAATACACGAGTATAATATAATGGGAAACGGGAAGCCTTATTAGCAAATGGGAAGCCACAATCCGAACCACCACCTAGGGGGAAGCTGAATTAGGGAGGGGCCCCCCCAAAATGGTGTTGTTCCTCGGCTTCTCTTCGAAACCAACTGAAAAGGGGTTCCAAGAAACGATGAGCCATGTGTTGTTTTGCCAAAAGCAGATGGGGATGGACGATGATCAGGTTTTCCCGACCCTCTGCTTAGCCCCCCAGAGTTTTGCCGTTTTACATGGCTTTGGGTCAAAACCAATGGTACCATTTTGGGGTAGGTGAATTCACCACCCAGTTTGGGACCTATTTTAGTTGTTGGATTGGTTGATGTTCACCGGGGAGCCTCGATTTTAACCCATGGCCACATTTCAGCAATTCACCTTTTGGGTTGCTGCAGGAGGCTGAGGAAGCTCAGCCCAGCGGAACCCAGTGGGTGAGCTGTGGTGTCTCCTGTTGGACATGAAAAATCAGGTTTCACAAAGCCCAGGTTTTCCCTGACTGAAAGCAATGGTTAGTCCCCCCATGAGTGCAAGGATTTGAATCCCATGGGTTTTTTCCAAGATGGATGGACCTCTTCTGGGCGTGTGATTTGGGTCCCGTGTTTGATGCTGGTGCAGAAGAGAAGCAGAGCGCGGGGGTTGGGCAATCTCGCCAGCTTAGAGCTACTCCGAACCCTTCCCAAAAGGCCAGATTTGTTTTAAGAGTTTTCAATTTTTTAAAGATGCTGTTGGTGTGTTTAGGTGTTGTTTGGTGTTTGGTTTTTGTTTGGTGTAAGATGGACACGTTCTTTGGACGATCCAAGTTGAGACTTGGTGTCCGTTGGTGTCCCTTCGGCCTTGCCAAAAAGACACGTTCGATTCGCTGGGGCCACTCGAATGGCAAATGGGGACTCAAGAGCCCTCAGAAAACCCATCAACGAACGTGAAAGGAATAAAGACAGTGCGACCCCCGCAAAAAATCCTGGACACGTCTTCACGCCAAAACACCGAGTTTCACTGAAGGAAGCTAAACCAGTGTGGCTTCAAGAAAGCAAACCCTGGCAAAGGCTGCACGCGAACACCCAGATGGTGCGTGTCTTGCAAACCATGATGAAGTACTACGCGGAGGACACGCCCAACCGCTACATCAAGGATCAGGTGATACGCAGGCCAGCGGGGCTTTTTTCTTGGTCAAAAAGTGGTCTCTTTCCGAAATCGGAGCTGGTTGGAGCACATACATCCTAAATGATGTCCACCAAAGGGGTCCGTTCTTTTTAGTTGGGTATGTCTCAAGTTGGTGGACTGGGGGAGGTTTCCGCGAGTTTTCGCCCTCTCTTTTGGGGGCTTGCGGGCGGAGAACCCAACTCCAAGAAAAGGGCCTTAAACACAAATCCTCCTACCACAACCCGCACGAAGATTCCTTTCGTCCCGTCTCAGAGGGAAAGTTGGAGGGCTCTTGGATAGCCTTGCACCGAATTTTGAGAGACCCGTAGTAACCCACAAAGAATGTAATGTCCCAAGCAAAATCAAGGGACTCGGCGATTTTCCCATGCCTGTTGGGATAGTGGCACAGGACGCAAGAAAATGGGGGGGGGGGGAACGTGAGCACGTAAGCAGCCCTTCTCTCTTTTTATGTTTCCCTTTCTCTGTCTCTTTCTCTTTCTCCTCCTCTTTCTCCTCCTCTTTCCTTTCCCTTTCTCTATCTCTTTCTCTATCTCTTTCTCTTTCTCTTTCTCTTCCTCTCTCATTCTCCTTCTCCTTCTCCTTCTCTTTCTCTTTCTCTTTCTCTATCCCTGTCCCTTTCTCTTTTTCTTTTCTCTTTCTCTTTCACTTTCTCTATCTCTATCTCTTTCTCTTCTTCTTTCTTCTTGTTCTCTTTCTCCTTCTCCTTTTCTTTCGCCTTCTCTGACTCTTTTCTTCTTTCCATTTCTCTTTTCCTCTTCTTCTTTCTCTGTCTGTTGCTCTCTCTCCCTTTCTCTCCAGCTTACAAAACTTGACGAATGCAAAGCGCACCGAGGTTTTGCGAGGCTGACAACACGGTCAGCACGGGCACACAAGAACGAAACAGAAGAACGCGCTCGTGCTGAGTCTGTGTTGGATTCCAAACGAAGCACACGCACCGGTATACAAAAGCCGAAAAAGATGCCTTCCGGAGCCCCCGTCAGCTCATCGCGCCCCTCCGTCTGGAGCAACTTCCCCACGGCCACGATGCCACGACAGGGCCCCAATGAGCCTCGTCACCACGTCCGCCCCACAGCCCGTCGTCATCATCCGCTTCCGCCCCCGGCCGGCCGCATGGCCCTTGTCCGCAGAACCACGGCGTCCGCCCCATCAGCACATCGTCGTCGCGGACTCCTTCGGAGACATTTTCGCGCGGCACCCCGCCAGCCCCGGCAGGCGCAATGGCCCACCTTGTGAAGCCTTCTGCATGGCACGACCACGAAGCAGCCGATTGTGCCCCGTCCCGTTGTCATTTGCGGTCCCCATGTTGAGCCGTTTTTCCCCACCCGTGCCCGCCCCGTCAGCCAGTCGTCATCGCGATCCACTTCCACATGCTTCTCCGCACGGCGCCGCCACAAAACAACTCCGCCGCCCAGTCAGCTTCTCATCATGGTCCCGAATGAGCTACGTGACAGCTGCTGGTCCTGCGTCATCACTCCCATCAAGCGAGCCGGCTGTGGCTTCTTCTCCGTCTCCATCTCGATATTATCTTCCTCTTGTTCTTTTATTTGTTCTCATGCTCTCTTCTTCTTCTTTTCCTTTATCTTTCTCTGACTTTGCCTCTTTGTGTCTGTTTTTTTTTTTTTCTCTCTCTCTCTCTCTCCCCAGTCCAGGAAAGCGAACAATGCAGACAACGCTGAGTTTTTCAAAGCTGACAAAACAGAAAGCGAAGTGAGCAAAACACAAACAACATGCACAAATGATTGAATGTCGGCCCACCGAAAGTTCGCGGAGGGTTCACCTTTCGATGCTTGCACAAGCTGAAACAGCCACGAGGTTTTGGAGGCCCCCAAAAGACTGCAGAGGACTGCGCAAGCGCAGCGAACTCGCAAAGAGAACCACAAGTTTTTGAGGATCGACCCACCCAAAGTCCGCAGGTTCACCGATTGAAGTTGCAAAGCAGTGCGCGGCCGTGCCAACGGGCCAGCGTCCGGCGTCCGAGAGCGTTCCGAACGCACTCTGATACTGCGTTCGCGCAGGCGTCGAGGTGGTTTGCGCGCATTCGGAAGAGCCGAATTTGCGCACAGGGCCACGTTTTCGGCTCGCTTCTATTGCGCCCTTAGAGAGCGCTAACCTCAATTAGTTCCAGCGCTGCCAGCGGAAGTTCTTGGTTAAACTTTGGTTGCCTGCTCAAATCCTGGATGAAAGGAGCACCTTGGGAAGACGTAGATGGCGTTCCCCCGCCCTTCTTCTTTTAAAGACAAGAACAACAAAGGAAGGATTTCTTCAAATGGGGTCCCCCGCAACAAGAAATCCCCCTCAACATTCCGTGCCAGTTGTCCAAACCCTCCCTGCCAACCCAGCCCACTTCCCTGGACCCCCATTCAGGCTGGGCAAGATGAAAGGCCTCACTTTCTGCAATCGAAGCTTGGCTGCTCCTTTTGACATTCAACCATTGACATGTTTGCGCCATGACTGTTGGATTTATCCGCGCAAGGTGTTGGCCCCTCCTGTTGGTTTTGACCTGTTTCAAGGGAGATGATGGATGTTGATGACAGGTCAATAATTTATTTGTGTGTGTGTGTGTGCGCGCGCGCTTCGCCTTTGGCAAATGGAGCCTAGTTCCAACCACCAAAAGGAACATCTTGAAGCAGTCTGTAGCGGAAAAGCAGTGCGACCATCAGAGTCGAGAGGCTGAACACTGTTGACAGACTTTGACCAACCCTTTTGCATCGTCGTTGTAGAGGCTGGTTTGCTTTCTGGGCCAATTGTAGTAGAGGCTGCAAACTGAATAAACAGAATCTGTGTGTTGATAGCATACCAGGGGTTGGGAGGGCTAGGCAGTTGAGGGTTTGGGCGGTTTGACTGGATTGTTGGGTTGGTTGGTTGGTCGGTCGGTCGGTGATAAGGCCCTGATAGGGCAAAAGGACACGCAAGTCAAAGATGATGGTATGTATGTATGTATGTGTGTGTGTGTGTGTGTGTGTTTCATTTTGTTCCTTGATGCGATAAATACGCAGGTCAGAGATGGTTGTTTGCTGAGGAGAGACAGATGGGTTGGGTTCAGCGAAGGTGTTCAATGGTTGCGGTTTCACCTGGCCTTTTTCTTTAGCATTATCAACAACTGCTTAGTAGTACATTATATGTTTGCTTGTTTGAGTCAACCAGGCGCAGCCCAGTGGTTTGAGATACCGTTTTTGTTTTGTTTTGAACCCATTCATTTGTATATATATATATACATACACATGTGTGCAGGGTTGTGGGATCACTCGGGGTTTATCCAACCACTTCTGAGATACAAGGGAATCTCCGCCTTTATATGGGGGTTGGTCTGTGGGAAGCCCTTTCTGTTGTATCACAGAAGTGGTCATTTCCCACAGCCCTGCATGTGTGTATATGTACACATATATATATATACAAAGCAACACACAAGGTCGCCCGTGGGAACACACCCAGCTTCCTGGAAACAATCCTCCCAATTCCTTGAGCAATTTTTCATTTCGGTAGGCTGATCCAGTGTTGCCATTATTCACATGTTATTCTGGAGGGGGCCGCTTTAAGCTGGGGTCTCCTCCAAGGTTGCAAATTTCCGGGTAGAATGACTATGGAACAGACTCAGGCATGTTTTTGTTTCAGCGTTTTTATCCCAAGTAAAACTCATCGACCAGGGTGCTTTTGGGCGCGACCACGCGGGGGGGGGGGGGTTCTTTTCGCCGGTTGAACCAAGCTCGACCTTTGGGCGAGAGCGGTACGTCCCTGAACCTGATGACCCGATTTGGGAAGCAACGTCTCAGATCCTTTGCAAATGGGTTTGTCCCAGGGAACGACCTACCAAAAACATCTAAACAGAGACTTTCCACGCCCAAAAGGGGATTCCGAGGGGAATAAAACACAGCTGGGATGGATACAATTCCATGGTTTCGGATTGGATTTGTTTGGCATCCAACAAAACCGGACCGAGCCACTGTCTTTTCTTAACGGGTGCCGTCAAAAGGAAGCCAGCCATAGGTCTTCTTGGAGACACACCCACCATGGCCTCCCGGCAACTTAGCCTTTTGTTGGTTTGCGGGTTTCGGAAGCCGCGTTCGGAGGCAAGCCGCCGCCCTAGCCGCCTCTGAAGGGGCTTACGCATGGGCTTGGCGTCGTTCAGGGGTCCCCATATTTCCCTTTCTGGTGGTTTTTCAACATCACCTTTCTGGCCATTTAAGGGTCAGTGTCCCTTGGTGCGGCTGAGGTTTTGAGGGGAACAAATTCTCGGAGCGTCGTGACTGCGTTGCTTAGGCAACTTGTTAGCCCACGCCTGGTGGGAGTGTTACGGCTTCGGCAGCCCCCAGATGAAGCGCCGCGTGCTGGCGGCCATGGACAGCACGCCGCTCGGCCGACGCGAGCGAAGCGGTGCGCGGGTGTTGGGATGGATAGGAACAGCCACAGGTGTCCCTTTTGCTTGTTTTGTTGGAAAAATAGATGGCCCTGGTTTGCCTGGTGGTTTAATCATGTACCAGGGCCATCTATTTCCCCTAAAAGGACACCTATGGGAACAGCGGTTGATCCCTTCAAAGAGAGACCCTGATAATTTGATTCGGGCCTCAAAAGGTCGACCAGAGGGCATATTTGGATGGCATGGGTCACGCTAGAGGTGAGATAGACAGACAGATGCCAGGCGCCGGGTGATTCATCCCACCTGTGTGCCTGGCGATTGGTCCATCGCTCACGGGTGTTCATCCATTCGGGTGCGTCTCTTTGTAGGGCACCCCTCAAAATGGCGGTTTTTCCTGGCCTTCCTTTAAGACCACCCCAAACAGGGGGTAGCCTCAGAAAAAGTATGTGACGGAGCCATTTGCTTTTCGGTCAAAAGGACTCAGAGCATCTTCGACATCACCTGGAACGCCTGGCGGGAATCCATCTCGGAGGAAGCCGGGGAGCGCGACGCCACCCTCATCCGCAAGGCGCGCGGGCGCCGGGGGTCGGGTAGGATGTAAGTCTTGGAGACTCTTCGGCAGGGGAGTTTAAAGAATTTGCTGGGTGTAGCCTCCCATGGAAGCTGACAAAAAAAGGTATGGGAAGACGGATTACTTTACTTTAAGACCTCCTTGTCCACTTCCATGGTGATGTGGAAAGAGGGGAATAAAAAGCTGACATGTTTTTAAGCTGAGGGGGATCAGCCGTTGGTCTCAAGATGAGGCGGTTGAAGCCCCACGTTTGGACGGTTCACAAGGGAAACCAGCATGAGGGCCTCATTTCCAGATGGGTTTAAAACCAACGTGGGACCCTTTTGGGCTGGTTTCCAAGGGATGGGATTGCTGTCGGCCAAACCGTTTTGCCGGAGTCCCAACTGTTAACGCTAGCCGCACGAAGAAGATCGAAGCTCTCAGCTTGAAGAGGAAGATCTGGCTCCACCAAATCTGGATATGGGTCCAAAGTTAAACCACCAGGAATTGGACCGCAGGTTGAATCGTCCATGTTTCCACTTAGCAGGGTTCCATTTGGGCTCCTATTTCTGACCCACCGCCATATAATGCCATATAGTCATGCTTGACGGTGTCCCCCAAGACAAGCTTCAGAACGGTGATTCAGTCGGGTCCTCCATGTCTACAAGATGGGTTCAGTTCCTCACCCCAAGCCGCGCCCCGCTCGTTTTCCTCACTTTCGAGGCGAAGCCCAAGATCGATGAGCTGCTGATGTCGATGGAGGTGACGATGCGCCTCGGCAGAGGGAACGCTCCCAGCAACAAGAACAAAGAGGTTCCCCCCAAACAAGTTCCAAGCAACAAACACACGCACACACACACCAAACAAGAAGCGCTCGCCAATCCACCCATTCCCCCCTCCCCAACCCCCCCCCAGAAGCCACACTAGGGACAGTCCCAGCCACAATCGCTTCAGGCCCGACAATCCCTTTAGATTCTTTGCTTGGCTTTGGATCGACCAGTTGAATCCCAGATTTGGATGGTGGATCTCCGACCAAGAGCCCCAGAGCCAAACAACCAAAGAAGACGTCCAACAACCCCCGCAACACCAATCCCAACACCAACAACTCCAAACCAGAGCCGGCTCAAATGATGGTTGGTCAAGTTTTCGGGTTGTCTATGGTCCATTTGGCAAACTCTTTTGCTGGCTCCCCCCCCAAATCCAACATCAAAGAGCAAAATGCAAAGCGTTTCAGGTCTATGTGGACCGTTACTAGAAACTTGACCAACCATCATTCCTTTGGTGACTTGATGATTTGCGATTTTGGCTGGATGAGGATGTTTGGATCGGCTTTGTACATAATATGGTTTTTTAAGCCCGACGCCAACACCTAGCCTCAAACTTGCTGGTTCTCAGGGAATGAGGGAATGACCCCGGTTTCTTCAAGGGAATCCCCCTTCCGGTTCATTCCCAACACCCTGAACGGGTCCATTCCCCTATGGCACCGATCGCTAAATCGCGATCGATCGAGCGAAAAGTCGGGGCCTAGGAACAAACCATCCCCTATAAACCATCCCCTATCAACCATCCGTTAGAAAAAAAAAAGGAAAACCATCCCCTATAAATCATCCCCTACAAGCCATCCCCTATAAACCATCCCCTATACCTGCGGAGCAGCAAAAGTCTCCTTGTCATTCCACCTGCACTCATCGATCGCTGTAAATCGATCGCTCGAGTGCGAGCGAAAGCCTTTATCTCACGTCGGGCCGAGGAATTTGCTGGTGAAGGCGGCCTCCGATGGGGCGCTTTACCCCGCCGAGACCTTGGCGCTGAAGAAGAGCTTCGAGGAGAAGCCGGTCGCGTCGGTCGAAAGCGTCGGTGGCGTTCGGTCGGGGCATGCGGAAGCTCGGTCGCGGCGGGGTAGCGGCGGTCGGAAGATCACGAGGGGTGCGTCTCCCCGGTTTTAAGTTGGGGCACTTTGGGGGATTTGCTGTGTGTGTTACCGGGTTGGCTGGTTTAGTGCTATTTGTTCTACCTGGTTCAAGTGGGGTTATAGCGAAGCCTGTAACAAAAACCCAGAATATGACCATGTGGAACCAAAACTCAACAGGTTGCAGCCTTCAATCGACTGCACAATAGCGACTGCAAGCAAATAAGCATTTTGGGTGGGTGTCAGCCCACAAACACTCGACACTCCCTCACTTAGCGTTTCCCATTTGGGCGTGTCTGTTATCAAGGGCGCCCTTCTTACATGAATTTATACGTGTTTAGCGGCAAGGGCAGCGGAAGAGGCGACCAAAGGTGTCCTGTATGGTTTTAGTTTGGCTGACCCAATGGTTTCAGTTTGGGTCTAGGCAGTTCCCAATCTATGTTTTGGCCTCAGAAGTGAGCCAGGCGACCCTCCAACAGGCCCAAAAAGAGATTGCTTCAAATCAACATGTTTCGGTTCACTGAATAATTACGGGCCAGAAGGTCGCTTTTGGCTTTCGACGCTTTTTGCGTGCTTTCGGCTTTTCACATCCTTGGCATCACCAGCAGTAGCCCGCCTCGAACAGCACTAAACAATGCCCGAACCACCAAAAATCAGCCCTAAACAAACCCTAAACAAACCCGTGACGGACCCACCTAAGCCCACATTAAACCAGCGCTAGCGTCTAAGCCAACCCCGAGCCCACCCCAAACCCAGCACGAAGCTACCACCCTGGCAAAAACTATTTTTGGTTGGGTTGTTTTGGGTTGTTTGTTCGTGACGAAAGAAGCCCTTTGAGTGAGTTCACATAGTCGCTGGAATGGCTTCCACCACACGGTATCACAAGGGTCAGCTGGTCCACGACCATTTGCAGAGCCCTCTTAGATTGGATGCGGCGGCGACAGTATCACGCCTGGGCACCTGGCACATGTGCCGGAACAAGATTTGGGTGTGGCGCTCAAAATTAAACGATCGGAGGGGCAGACCGCAGGTGTTGGTCCATGTTTCCACTTACCAGGGCAACCCATTTTGGAATTCCGGTTTTTTGAGCCTCAGCCAGATGTCGCTCGCTGCGTTTCGCCAGGCATTCGCGGAGCGCCTCTTGTCCCCTTCCAGGGTGACCCTACGGGGCTCGGGCTGCGGGGAACGGCATTTGGGTGTTGAGACACAAGAACTGGCCATTTCTTAGCATACCCAAAGGGAAGCCACAGATGTTGTTTCTTTCCGACCCGGTTCTTAATGTTGACCCCATGTTAATTTCAGCTGAGTAATATAGGGGGGTGTTCCCCTCCAAAAGTGATTCCCCACTAAATTCAGGGACACCCTGCTATGAATCAACTGGGGTTGTTTCATATGGAGTCAACATCACTTGGCGCCCAGAAACGCAAAGACCTGAAGAAAAGTCCCCCAGGACATCCAGGCCAAGGACAAGGAGCTGGCCGCGCCTGCGGCTGACAATTTTTTTTGATCGCTTCGGTTCGCTGGAGGTTTCTGTTTTGAGACCAAGTCAAAAAGCTTCAAGAATCGAGCTGCGAGAAATTTAGGGCTTTAGGGGTATGTGTCAGAATAGAACCGAAACATGTGTGGTGTCCTTTTGTTGTTTCTGAAAACCAACCAAAAGAAGACCCGTCTTTCGTGGAGGACGCCATTTTAACCTGCCAAGAAGATCCCTTGAAAGCAGCCCTGCCAGGTGGCTTCCGTTGTGCGGATTGGTGGCTTACGCCAGTTCGTGATGGATGCGTCCTTTTCCTCTTTCACACCATCGATTGAGGACATCCCCCCCACTTCTTGCAATGCTTTTTATGCTTGCGCCCAGGGCCGTTTTTTAAGGGTTGGCAGCTTTTGAGGGTGCCTCTCTCTAGATGAGAGGCACAGGGGCTCAGGCCCCCTAAACAGGGGCTCTGCTTGCCTTTGAAGGCAGCGCAAAGAGGGCATGCTCGAGCGTAGACGCAGCACAGACTGCTCGTTGGCCCAACAAAGGCAGATCCCTGGACCATAACCCAGGGTAAATTCAAGCTAAGAAGAAAACATAATCCGGATTGAATGAGTGGTAAACAAGCCCAGCGGAATACTTGTCACATGGTGTTCTTCTTTTTGGTTTCCTCTAATCCGAAATGGGCCTGTCTTTTTTACAGGCTCCCCCTTTTTGTCGTTTGTTTCGAGAGGATTCAACACCAC